GCGAGGCGCAGCCGCTGGAAAGCTCCCCGCGGGCTGGAGAACCACCAGGAGTCGACGACACCGTCGATCGAGGAACCCTCTCGAACCTTGAATCTCGATCGAGTCCCGACGAAGAACCACCTCGAACCTCGATCGAGGAATCGACGAAGAACCACCTCGAACCTCGGTCAAGGCCCAACGATCGGGGCTCGAAGTCTGCGGGAGAGGCCGCGCGCAGCCGCCTGACCTCGGCGGCGCACCCGCTCGCCCCGAGCTCGCACTCGGCAGCGCCCTGCAGCAGCCACGCGCGAGCCCGCCACGGGAGGTCCGGGGCGGGGCCCGCGGCGCCGTGCGGGGCGAGCCGGGCCACAACGGCCCTCATCAGCATGGCCCGGGGGGCTGGGAGAGGCTCGACGTGTACACCGCGTCGCTTCGGTCGGCCACGGAACTCGGTGCAGAGACGGCGCAGGCCAGCAGGCACGCCATGTGAGAGGCTGGCCTGTCAGCAGGTGCTGCACGAGAGAGTGTCCTGCCTCCCGATGGGTCCGAGGAGCCCTGTGGCACCTTGCGAAGCTCAGAGTCGATGCAGGATGTGCCCCTGGACCTGTTATAGCACGATCTCTTATCGTGCGTGCCGCCTGTGCCGACCGTAGCTTCCCCAGGTTTGGGGAACTGGGGCGTCCGTGCGCCGAATTCCTTGGCTGGCCAGTCGACGTGGTGTATATACGTCGAGCCCATTCGATGGACCCCGACATCCTGAGCGCCATGGAAAAACACGACGTGCGTTTCCAACCTGCTTCACGGTCGGCGAGGAGGGCGGAGGCCGCAGAAGCAGCTTCTCCTGCTCCGTGTCTCCAGCCCCCCCCCCCGCGTCGCCAAGGCTGGGCTCGGCCACACGGAAGAGCAACCCAGGGCAAGAGTACCTTTGTAGAGAAGCGCGTTCCACTACTCGTAAAGTAACCACTCGCAAATGTCCTCGATCTGCCGCGGGGGATTTACGATACATTACATCGAGGCGCTCATACATTTTCCAGACAACATTTGCGAGAAGGCACTTTGCGAGTAGTGGAGCGCGCTCGGTGACCCTGGTGCACGGTTTCAGTAGGGCGGCGGGGGCAGTCTAGACGCGAATCTCGGCGCTGGGGGGACCCCTGTGCCCACCCCCTAAGGTCACCCTGCGAAGGCTCGTCCTTACGAGTAGCCGATGGATGCGCCTCGGGAATCTAGCCAGGATGGTGCGTGGAGGGACTGCTCTTGAGCGGACTCTGTCTGTCGCAAGTGCCCTTCCGAGCCCATCGGGCCGCCGCGAGGAGGCAGGACCGAGCCAACTCGGCACCAGAACGGGCTCGACTCCCACGACGCTGTCAGAATTCAACACATTCTGCAGCGATCTAGGCAGCCGAATGACCTCAGACTCTGCATGGGCTCATAAAGAAACAGAAAGCGTAGTGTTTCGGGCCCTGTCACCTTCACGGGTCGATCGAACACGAAAACTCTCTCATAAAGACCAGGTCAGGAGCACCGGCTGGTATACGTAGTTCAAGGCCTTGTACTTTTTCACGACGTCGGATGTCGGGGCAGGGAGGTCGCACGAGCACACTATCGAATCGTGGAGCTAGTCAGGAAGGGGTTGCCTGACTGCGCCCTTTGAAATGGACATCGGAGCCATGACAGCTGCATGCGCAATCATCTACGTCGACCGTCAGCCCCTGACTGCACTCCTCCTTCATCCATTCTCCTTATGAGTAACTCCTCCCTGTCGCACCCCGAAGCAGGTCGGCAGGGCGGGCCGGGCGTTTCGCCGGAGACGTCCTCACCTTTTTTATGCTCCGTACGCTTGAAGATTGCAACTATTTCACTGACATTCGTCTAAACAAACTGCCGCCCACACATTCATCTAAACAAACTGCCGCCCACAAACTGCACGAGTCTCGCGGATTGAGCGCGGGCCGTTTACAAAATTGTGGCTCTCGCCTGAGCACCGCGCACATTCATTGAAAAATGTAATTGTCGTTTTCAAAATGTGGCTCTCGCCTGCGCGCCGAGCACTTGTTTGCAAACTGCATGAGTCTGAAGATTGAAGACGGGTGGTGTTTAAATGTGGCTCTCGCTATAGCTCCGCGCACATTCGTTCCCAACGACTGCAACAAGCTTCACGGGTGGAGGGCGGTTCCTTTTCAAAGTGTGGCTCTCGCTATAATGCAGCCCACATGCGTCTGTTTCAATGGCACTGGTGTTACGGGCGCTCGATACGAATGTACCAGACACGGCGTTTTAGAACGATTCAGTATTGGCAGGGCGTTACAGTTACGCCGACTTGCGGAATTGAACTCCCAGGGAGGGTGTTCTGGCACGATTCCGGATCGTCAAGACACAACAGTAAGGTTGACTCGTGGTGTTGACGTCCCAAGAGCAGTGCCTTGCAACGCTTCAGGCTTTAAAAAACGGCTGTCTCCAAACAGCTCCCTATCAAGAGGGAGCTTGGAGGGGGAGGTCAGTCCAACATCGTGGAGAAGTTTAGACTGGTCCTCCTCCTCCTCGTCCTTCTCCCTTGTTCTCCTCCTCCTCATCATCCTGCTCCTCCTCCTCCTCCTCCTCCTCCTCCTCCTCCGCCTCCTCCTCCGCCTCGTTCTCCTCCTCCTCCTCCTCCCTCTCCTACCTCAGATTCGTTTTCAGGCCAAAACTCGGGTCTCAGGCGGCCATCCCGCACGACTCGGGGCTCCCCAGGAAGACCCTCGACGAGGCGGAGCTGAGAACCCCGACGGGGGCCGAACGTCAGACGTCGAACGTCCTCCCTATCCTGCTCCTAGGCCTCACCGTCCCTTCCCCCCCCCCCTCTCCTCCCTCCTCCTGTTACTCCCACCCCCTTCCTCCGCTGAGGGAACGTGAAGCTCCGCTCGTGGTCACTGGCATTAACCCCGACAGATCTTCTCCTCCGGCGACGCACCTTTTTCCCGACGTGGGCCCTCGGGGGTCTTGGCCTCTTCCCAGGGGCACGCTTTTCATCCCGAGTCGGTTTCTGACGGACGCGGGTCTGGGGCAGGACCTGTTTCGCGACGCCCCGATCTGAGGGAACGTCGAGACGGTGAGGCACAGCTGGGAGGAGGAATGACTGCCCCCGCATCGAGCATGGCGCAAGGACGAGGTCGCTCGGCCCGGGAGGGGGGGGCCCGTCGCGGAAGGATTGGCGTCGTAGGAGGAGAGGGGCAGGGGGAGGGTGGAGGAGGAGGAACAGGAAGAGGAAGGGAAGAGGTATAGGTAGGGGGAGATGGAGGAGGAGGAACAGGAAGAGGAGGAGGAACAGGAAGAGGAAGGGAAGGAGGCGTAGGCTCGCGCGTGAGGATGAGACGGAGGCGGAGACGGGCGGAGGGATAGGGGACAGGGCGGGGGGGAGAGGAGGATGGGGAGAAGAAAGGATGGGAGGAACAATACTGTAGCACCCCGCAGTTGCGGATAAGAGTGAGGGGGCGGGCGCGTGGTAGGTCGCGGGTGGGCCGCGGGTGGGTCGCGGGTGTCGCTGGTGTGCCGCGGGTGGGTCACGGGTGGGTCGCGGGTGGGTCGTTGAGGGTCGCGCGTGGGACGACGACAACAACGCAACGCAACGCAACGCAACGCAACGCAACAACAAAACGTAGAATCCGCGCCGCGGAGTCCCACTTCAGCCACGCAGCCCGGGATAGTGAATGACCGTTCGGCCCCCTCACTCTGTGCTAGCGGTGCGGGCGACGACGGTGAAGCTGACGGCGGCCACAGCGACTACCACGACCCTTGGGCCCACGCTGGGGTGCGTCCCGGCGAGAACTTCGACTCTGTCAATAGTGACGGCAGCACCGCAGGAGGCCCCCCAAATGCCGAACCACCTCGGTCCTCGAACACAAATCGCCGAGGCTTTGATCTTACAGTACGGCCCCCCTGGAACTCTCGACCTCTTCCTCTGGTCTCGGGTCCCAGAAGCGGCCCCAGGAAGCTGAAAACAACAGGCACAAACAATGCCGTCATCATTTGCCAGCATATTTTGAGATTTGGAAGCCTCAATCCTCGTGGTGTGAGAAGTACGACGGCGATGCGCAGTACGAAGCCAGCCAAGAGTGCGACGGAAAGTGTGGCGGCCAGCACGGCCTTCAGGAATACGCCGACGACAAGCAGCGCGATGGGGAGCATCACCGCGACTCTGCCATACAGGACTGACGCGTGCAGAGTTGGGAGCTGCGCGGCTGTGAGCCACTCGGCGAGAGAGGGCACTTACCGCATCCTTGCCTCCGCCTCACCTCTCCCTCTCATCTCTCTTCCGTAGGCCCAGCTCGGTGCGATTGCAGTTGTGCGCGCGCCTGTAGCAGGCACTCCCGCGAGGCGGGGCCCTGCTACTCCGCAGGAGTCGAGCCTCCCCTGTGCCCTCACCCTCCTTGTCCACCCTGGCCGCCGGAACCCGAGACCTGGCTCGCCTCCTGGCATTGCGGCATTGCGGATGGTAGCCACGCTGCAACAGAATCTCCTCCTCCTCCACCTCCCTTCACCTCCTCCTCCTCCTCCTCCTCCTCCTCCTTTTTCTCCACCTCCTTCTCCACCCTCCGCCTCCTCCTCCTCCTCCGCCCTCTTCGTCCTCCTCCTCCTCCTCCTCCTCCTCCTCCTCCTCCTCCTCCTCCTCCTCCCTCCTCCCCCTCCCTCCCCCTCCCCCTCGCCCTCCCCCTCCTCCTCCCCCTCCCCCTCCCCCTCCCACTCCCCCTCCTTCTCGGCGATGATGTCAACGGCGACGACGGCGACGACGACTACGACCACGACCATGACCATGACGACGAGGACGAAGACGACGAAAACGACGACGACGACGACGACGATGACAACGACGACCACGACGACCACCACGACGACGACGACCAGGACGACGACGACGACCACGACGACGACCACGACGTTGACCACGATGCTGACGACGACGACGACGACGACGACGACGACGACGACGACGACGACGAAAACGACGACGACGACGACGACGACGACGACGACGACCCCGCCCGGGCCTCGCCGCGCGACAGCTCCGGCTGTCGCGCCCGCGCCGCGCCGCCCTCCAGGCGCGCCGTCCGGGACTCCCTCGCCGCGTCCTCGCAGGCCGCCGCTGCCTCAGAGGGGTCGGGGGGGGGATCGCAAGACGCAGCCAGGACGAGGACACCCAATCGGGAATCTCTGAGGTCGGGCTGTTCTGGAGGCCGTATCGGGCGCCGCAGCCTCTCCAGAGCGTTCCGGAACGCTCTGAGAGCGTTCCGGAACGCTCCGCAACACATTCAGCCTCGTCCTGGCCCCTCCCGAGATCGGCCGATACAGCTGACGTGCCACCGCGGGGAACGCCAGGTAAGGAACGAAGGGGCTTCTCTGGCCACGGCGAGCGTCGACTACGAATGGGATCCACCAGCCAGACTGAGGCACGGCCCGGAAACGGAAAGCCCCTCCCGAGTCCAAGGTGGTCCTTAGTCCAGCGTCTTGAAGGTATCGCATCGAGAAATCGGATCGGAGTCGAATGTGCGTCGGACCAGGACGCATCGGGACGGAGACATCGTCGAATCGGGTCGGCTGCTCCAGGCTCCGAGGCGTCGAAGTGCATGTAGATACGCCAGTGGAGGTGTCGGAGGAGTAGGCCTGGGCGGAGGCATGCCTCGCAGGCTGGCGGCCGCCATTAGAGCGTGATGGGAGACGGGCCTTGGAATGAAACAGGAGCAAACGAAAGGCGACGGGTGCAGCAGCCGACTGTCGACCCCCCATCAGAGGATGCCCAGTTGCGCCGGCGAACGCAGCTCCAGCGCAGGCGGCTACCCCCTTGCACGACGGGGCCGAGGAGCACAGGGAGCAGCAGCTGCCTGAGGATGAGCCACTCCCTGGCTGTCCCTTGGAGGTGGGGGAAGTACAAGGCACCCGTACAGTAAGGACGCACGATAAGGATAGGGCCTTGGAAGGCACATTTTGCGAGCGGAGCGCGGCCGGCGTAAGCGGCCAATGATGGGCCGAAGGGCAAGGATGCAATGGTAACCTGGAAAGTTGCTCATCCTAATTATGCGTGTTGACTGTACAAGGTACACGCACCTGGAGATGGAGGCCAGGGAGCTGAATAACCACCCCCCAGGAGGCTGCTGGGAGACCATCAGGTGCAGCACCCTCGTCAACACCGTGAGCGACGTCGGCGTTGAGAGCGTCAACGTCGAGTACATCGTCACCCTTCTGGACATAGGCACCAGGCGCAGCGAGGCCAAGCCGCGCGAGTAGGCGCTCGCGCACCACTGGCAAGTGGCAGCAAACACGGCGCTGAAGGGCTGGGAAGCAGAATGGGACGACGAGCACGGCCCCGACGCGAAGGCGTGCATGCCGCCGTTGGACCTCGAGTACCAGGAGTACCCACTGGAGGCGATCACTGCCACAGATGTGATCGAGAGCTGTGGGCGCTTCCAGGAGAAGACAGGCTCGAGAGAGGCTGACTGGCATGCCATGCCTGGCCGCATGGAGGAATACAGGGAGCAGCGAGGCTGGCGAGCGTCCTGAACGAGATCGATCAAGGCGCGCCGTGGCCGAGCTCGCAGTCCACGATACTGTTCTTCCTGCAGCCCAAGACCGCAGGAGGGCACAGAAACCTCGGGCTCATCCCCAAGGCGGCGCGCGTATGGGAGACCATTCGCATCCCCATGGCGCTATGACTGGGCCATCAAGGGCCGAATGAACGAGAGACCAGAATGGGTGCAAGCGGTGTTCTGCGAAGCGACGGTGTGTTCGAGGGCCTGGAGTAATTACTCAGAGACGCACTTCGATCTGGCCAATCGCTTCGACAACGTCACTCGGACGACGGTATGGCGAGCGGGGCTTCGTTGCGGCTTCGACCCAATAGTGATGCGGGTGATCCTCAGGATCTTCGCGATGGTGAAGCGGACCGTCCTGGACAGCTGCTGCACCGAGGGCAAGAGGGTCGGCCAGAGGCATCGTGGCGGGTAGCAAATGCACGCAGAAGTGCCGCATACGTGCAGGCGCACGCAAAAGGCGGACACGTGCCTGTTCTTCGACGACCTGACCATGGCGACATTCACGTCCAGGGAGTTCGGGCGGTACTGGCACCGCAGGCTGATCGCCGTCGTGACCCACACGTTCGAGGCGAAGCTGGACATGAGAGTGTAACGACGGGCGGACGGGAAGACGGCCACACTGGCCTCGACCACACCCTCGGGGATGAAGTTGGTAACCACATCCGTGGCGTTGGTGTGAGGGCCGCTGCCCACGAGAAACAGCTAGGACTGTCGACGCCGGCAGGGAGAAAGAGACGTGTAGGGGCCATAAGCAAGAGGGCCCTCCAGTTTGCAGCGCGCAGTAGGGACCGACTTGTCCAACTTCGCGGCTGAGGCGGGTCAACGCACAAGGTGCCGCCCTTGAGCGCAGGAAAGTGCCGGAGGACGCGACGGCGCAACGTCTGACAGCGGCATGGAACAAGTGGGTGATGAAAGCAGGTCGAGCCAGAATCCCATGGGAGCGAATGCGAGGGGCAGCTGGAGCTTTCGTGAAGACGGTCAGACAGCTGAATTGAGTGACCCAGGCGGCCCACGCCGTCACAGTCGGCGCCACCATCTACTACCTGCGCTATCCCTCCCTCCACGAGCTGCACCACGAGGTGTGGATCACCACGGAGGAACACTGGAAGATTGGGTAGCTCGCGGGATGGGGCGTTGGGTTAGACAGAACTTACCATGTCGAGTTCTCGTTCAAGACGGGATGCGGCACAGGAAGTCTCATCTACACCGTGGGGTTCAACATGACGGCAGTCTTCGTGAAGCCCGTGCAGGCGCTCGTGAGGAAGGCAGCGAGGGGCCGCTGGCAGGAGGCACGAAGGACGCGAGCCCGAGGCCCCTGCCGGGGCGGCACGTGGCGGCAGGAGAGGCGTCTCAGGAGAGGGGCGGCGTCGAAGAGCACCTGCCAGGCGTGCCACCGCCGCGGTGGGGTCCAGCTGGCACCACGCCTTCGCCCGCCCCGCCAGAGGACGAGCACCGTCGGGAGGCTGGAGAGCTGCACATCGTGCATCGGAGAGACCAACCCCATTGCCCGGAGCCGGAGCAGCTCTGGGGCCGTGGGCTCAGCAACGGTTCGTCGGTGGAGCTGGGTCTTTCTGGGACTTTCTGTCGGCGGACTTCGGCAGCGTCGAGGGTGCGTGGCCGAAGCTCGCGAAGGGCAGCGTGAGAACAGACGCCAGCCTCCTGCACGGGGAGCCGCGCCGCCTTACGCCGAGGAGACTGGACCTTCGTTGTGCTGAACGACGACCCGTCCCTCGGCGCGGCCTGCAACGGGCCGCCTAACGGGCCCTTGCCACGACGACGGTGGCAACATAGTATGTTCACAGGCGAGCTCACGGTAATGTTGAGGGTCTTGCACGTCGCCTGCCCGTCCGTGGCCATCCACACCGACTGCCAAGCGGTGATCGACAGGTCTTTGAAAGGCCCAGCCTGGGCCGCGAGCCCTAGCGTACAGCACACACAGACCTGTGGGCGCGCGCTGGGGCACTGATCGCCGAGAACAATGGTTTGGGGCCGCGCGCGGGTTCGCTTCGGGAAATGCTTAGTTATGTCCAGAAAGACAAGCAAGCTCCCTCTCCTCCGACTTCTCCACTTCCCGGGCTTACTTAGAAGAATGAATCTAATAATCAACATGTGACCGTTCTCTTACTCGGCGTTTCGACACTGGGCGGCAGGAGGGGGGGGGGGGCTGGCGGCGAACTTCTGCTCAATGCGACTGCTTGCAACAGCTCGTCCTGTGGGAACGCGACTCCACCTGCTCGAAGCAGTCGCCAAAAACAGCCAAGATCTACTCCATGAGGTGGGGAGGGTGCGAGGGCCCGCGCCGATCGGCAAAACAGTGAAGAAGACAACGATCACCATGCGCTTCCAGAGTTCTGGGTGGAATCCTTGGATTTGCGCTGGATCTCCCTCCCTGGTGGGCTCCGCGCACCAGTGGCCAACGGCGGGGCCTCGAGGCGCCTCCCAGGGGAATCCAGCGCCGATCCGAGAAATGCGCAAGGACCTCCGAAGACTTGTGTGCGCGGATGTTGTCGTTTCCCTGTTGTTCACGACGCCCGGAACTGAGGGTCCTCCTCCTCCTCCTCCCTCCTCCTCCTCCTCCTCCTCCGCCCTCCTCCTCCTCCGCCCTCCTCCTCCTTCTCCTCCCCCTCCTCCTCCTCCTCCTCCTCCTTCTCGTCCTCCTCCTCCTCCTCCGACATCCGACGATGCATTTTGTCCCATGCGCGGCCCCAAAGATCCCGACCCCTTCCGAGGTGTAGATCTTGGTCCCGGCTCCATTGCTGATGACCCTGGGGCTCAAGGACAGGCCCCTGAGGCCGGAATCGAGGAACAACTGCCGGATTTACTACATCATATGGTGGGAGCTCTAAGTCCGCTTGTGTCGAAGACAGCAAAACGCCCGTTCGTGAAACCTGCCAAGGGCACTCTTCGTGCGAACGGGATCAGGGATTAGACACGGATTAGGAATCTCTTCGTGTGAATGCTGACACGGATTAGGGATCTCAAAAGAGGACAAGGCACCCATACCGCTACCCTTTCCTCACTTCCCCTTTTTGGGGCCTCCTGGAAGACCCTGGTCGCCACCGCTGGATTCCTCGAAATCCCGGCGAGAACGCATCCCGGGAGAGGTCTGGGGAGTAGCGGCATTGGCACCTTTTTTGGCGGCGAGGATCCACGGGCCTGACGCGTTGGCACCAAAGCCATGCCTCGGGGAAGGTGCCCCCCGAAACAGGAGGCCCATGCCGCCTGCTCTGGCGGCGGAGCGCGCCGAGCCTGAATGGAAACGGGACCAGTCGCTCATCCCCCTGGCCTCACCGTCAGCCCATGTATCAAGCATGCGCGGTAAGGATGCAAGGGCCTTGGGCGCCGCGGCACTGGCCATCGAGAGTGGCTGAGGATGGACCGAAGATGGCCGAAGAGGCAAGGATGCAAGGGTAGCATTGGGAAGCCGATCATCCTTCCTGTCAAGATTGCCTGTAATCCTTGCTTGCGCTTCCAAGATTCTCTCGAGACCGGGCTCTGCCCGTACTCCCCCTGGTGGTTGGCGGCCTCTCTCGCGGCGCCCAGCTCCCCCTCCAGCTCACCCGCGCGGCGCCGGCACTGCTCCGCCACGCCACGCCACGACGTCAGTTCCTTCCTCGCGAGGACCAGCTCGCGCCGCCAGTCTGGAGATTCCTCCAGGGGGCGACCAGAGCAGACAGTCTTGATGCCATTTGAGGCGCCCTCAACTGCTTGTCAGAGTGAGGGGGCCGAACGGTCATTCATTGTCCCTGGGTGCGCGGCTGAAGTGCGGATCCGTGGTGATAATTCTGCTTGCTGTTGTTGCTGTTGTTGTCGTCGTCCCCCCCGCGACCCGGCCCGCGACCCACACCGCGACCCAACGGCGATCCACCCGCGATCCACCCCGCGACCCGCTCGCGACCCGCCCGCGACCCACCCGCGACCCACCCTCGACCCACCCGCGACCCACCCGCGACCCAGCCCGCGACCCACCCGCGACCCACTGTCGACCCACCCGCGACCCACCTGCGACCCAACCCGCGACCCACCTAAATTGTTTGAACAAAGAATCGTCGCCTGCGGCGGGCTCGTTGTATATGTTGAAAAATATTGCGCCTGCGGCGGGCTTCTCCAAAGCCTCGCAGACTGCCGACGTCTCCGCCGCCCCCTCACTCCTATCCGCAACTGCGGGGTGCTACGTACCATTTTCGAGCACCTGAGGCCTTCCAAGCAACGTGAGGGGTGGTCTGGAGTGGAGGCCGTCTGTGAGAGAAGAAACAAATTTCCACACACACACACACACACACCTAAACGTTCGGAGTTTCATGCGGATTTCTTGGGTCGGCGCTGGACCCCCCTCCCTGGCGTGCGCTCGCCAGGGGCGGCGCCAGGATCCGATCCAACAAAAATCCCCAGAGCTCACCTGTTTGCTGTGTGTGCATGTTTGGTCGTCCTCGATCCCCTGGACGCGAGGCGCGGGCAACGGCGGGGGACGTCAGCTGTGGGCACACGCCCGACGTAACCCTAGGCAAGAATGACCTTGGTGCGCGGCCCTGTGATCGCTGCATGCGATGCGGCTATCACGGCCTGCGTGCCTGGACATTGTGGGCCCAGAGCGCCCCGAGGTCCTCTGAAGGACTTGAGAGCGTTTTTTGTTTGTCTTTCGACGTTTCGAAGTTGGGCGGAAGGGGGGGGGGATGGGTGGAGGGTCTGTCTCCAGACCTCTGCTTAGTGCGACTGTCTGCAAGAGTGCTGCCTCTGGGGGAGACTCCACCCGCTCGAAACAGGCGCCCAAAAACAGCCAAGATCTACTACCTAGGGGGGAAGGGGGGGGGGAGCCTGCGCCGTTCGGCAAAACAACGAATTCGCAGGCCCAACGGGCCAAAGGCGTGCTAAGATCTCCGGTAACTGGTTCACAGTATTTCTAGTTCGCGCGCGCGGGGCGGCCCCTGGGGGTCCCCGGACGAAAAGTACCCCGGCAAGGTCCCGGGAGGAGCCCCCAGAGCGCTCCAGGAGCGCACCAACAGGGCCCCGAGACATCCCCGAGAGTCCCAAGAAGGGCCAAGAGAGAGTCCCAAGAAGAGCCAAGAGCGCCCAAGAGGCCCTCGCTCCAAGACGCTCAAGATAGCCCCCAGACGCTCCACGAGGCTTTCAAGAGCACTCCCAAGAGGGCCCCAAGAGGCAAAATGCATTGCTTTTTCCTTAGGTTTTGGCAGCTTTTCGGCATCGCGACGCCCCAAGACGGCCCAGGAGGCCCCCAAGATCCCGAGAGGCCTCCGACAGGGCCCCAAGACGGCCCAAGAGGCCTCCAAGACGGCCCAAGAGGCCTCCAAGACGGCCCCAGAGGGTCTCAAGAACGCTCTATTCGTGTTCCCCCTCCTGGGCTTCTCTTGAGAGAAGCCCCAGAGGGGGAACACGAAACGACATTTCGAGCCCTCGGCCCTAAGACGCCCCCAGGAGGCGCCAAGGGGCCCCGAAGAAGCCCCTGGAGGCCCCCCACAAGTCCCTCACGAGGCCTCCAAGAAAAGCTCCCACGCGGCTCCCAGAGAGGCTCCGACGGAAACCCAAGAGGCCCCCAAGGAACCCCCAACGAGGACCCCCAAAAAGCCTCCCCAAAAGCCCAAACACAAGCAAAGGCACAGTACGGGCCGGCGGAATGAGCGAAGCGATTCAATACAACAACGATCACCTTCTCTGACGAGCATCGAGGTGTGTGTGTGTGTGTGTGTGTGTTTCTCTCTCTCTCTCTGTGTGTGTGTGTCTGTGTCTGTGTCCGTAGCCATTTTGGCTCAAGCCCCGTTGCCTGTCTGGCTCAGTGGCGCCGCCCCCCCGGCCCGCGCGTAGGGCAATCCGCGCGCGAGGCCGCATGCCGGGCGGCCGCCGCGGCAAGCCGCCGGCTGGGGGCGGCCCCGCCGTGTCGCCGCAGCTGGGGAAGGCGCTGCTGGCCGCATGCCGGGCTGCTGGGATGCCTGGGCTGGGGGGCGGCGGGGGGCAGCAGAGGCTGCAGCGGCAGCATCAGAAGCAGCAGAAGCAGGGGCAGGAACGCAAGGCTCCGGAGGGCCCGCGGCTGCCTCTGTGGGGCTGCTCCTGCGGGGTTGCCGACAATTGGGCTTGTCGGGCTGCCTGCCGTGCATGTGGCCGCCGTGGCCCGCGCGCAGCCGTAGGGAACACGCCGCCCCCCGGAGCGGCGCGCCCTCCTCCGGCGGCTGCTGCTGGGCGGACCTGGGCGCAGGTGGCGGGTGCCGCGGGGGCACCCCCAAGCGCGGCTCAGGCGGCGGCGGCAGGGCCGCAGTCGGCGGAAGCCCCTCGCGACCCCGCTCCGGCAGCGGCGCCGGCGGCGGCGGAGCGCCTCGCAGGCCTACGGGCCCGCATCGCCGCCTTCCAGCCGTTCCCGGAGTGCGCCGCCACCGTGGTGCAGTTGGAGGCGGAGGCGGCAGCCATTGTGGAAGCAGAGCGGGCTGCCCGGCCGCTCGAGCGCAGGCTGCAGTCGGCGGTGGACTCCCTGCGCACGCGGTCCGCGGCGGCCCAGAAGGCGCGGCAGGCCGCCCTGGACGCGCAGGAGGTGGCCGATCAGGCTGTCCAGGCTGCCGCGGCGATGGAGGCCCAGGCGGTGCACGCCGAGGCCGAGGAGGCGGCCGCCCAGCAGGCGCTGGTGGCGGTGCAGGCCGAGGCCGCCGCTGGAGGAGCCGCTGCGCCCGCAGGCGGGCCCAGCGCGCCTGGGGGAGGGCTCGATGCGGCCTTCGAGGCGATGGCGGCCGCGGCGTCCCCCGCCGCACAGGCCGCGGTGGTCGCTCTGCTGGCGCAGCTTCGCGGGGTGTTGGCGGCGCCGCCAGGTGGCGCAGGGCTTGTTGGGCCTGCCGGTGGTGCGGTGGCGGCGGCAGGCCCAGGCGGCGAATCAGGGCTGCACGGAGGCGCGGCGGCTGCGGCGCCGGCCGATGCGCGCATGCCTGCCGCCGTTGCTCCTGGGGAGGCCGGACCTCCGCCGGCTCCGCTCGGCAGCGGCAGGCGGCGCGCGGCCTCCGCAGGCGCGAGGGCTGCGCGATGGTACTCCCCGCTCCGGGCGGGGTCCGAAGACGGCGACCGCTCCCGTTCCACGGACCGCGGAGGCTCCCCAGAGGCCCGCATTCCGCTCTTCGCCCAGCCCGCGCACCTGCCGGCCGGGCAGCGGACTCTGCCCTTGCGGCGATGCGCGCGCCTTGCCGCAGCGGCACCTGGCGCTGCATAATGGCGCCTCGCTCGCGCAGCCGTCGGCGTCGGGCACCCTGCAGCAGCCAGGGCGTGCAGGTGAGTGGTGCCGTGGAGGACCCGAATAGCCCAAGTGCAAGCTGCGGATGTGCCGCGGGGCTGCTGCTGGCCGCCGCCCGGGCCGCCACCCGCATGAGGTTGCCGGGCGAGGCTCCCGGCAACCGCCCGGGCCGCGATCGCACGAGTGCGAGCTGCGGATGCGTCGCGGGGCTGCTGGCGCTGCTCCGGCCCCTCCGGGATCCCAGGCTGCTGAGCCCTTGGAGGGGGGTCAGGGTCTGGGAGGCGCGGCGCCCTGGCCCAGGCCGCACGGTCAAGGTGCTCGTGGCCAATGTGACTCGCTGGAGCGCGAGCTGGCGCGGCGCGCTGGCAGCGCAGGCCGTCGTGTGGTGCATGCAGGAGGCCCGCATTCCGAAGCTGGAGGCGGCGGCGGCCGCTGCAGCGCGTGCCCGCGGGATGCGGCTGCACCTGGGCCCAGAGCAGGATGGCGAGCACCTCCTGGCTGCCGCGCACGCGCCCGGCAGTTGTTCAGCCCGGGCCGAGGCCATGTCGGGCCTCTCTGGCCGGCACCCGGGCCGCCTCCAGCACCTGGCACTTCACCTGGGAGGGAATCGTGCCGTCCACCTCCTCAACGTCTATGGGTACGCTGGAGGGCGGACCGACCGGGAGCGCAACGCCGACCTGATCCTGGAGGGCCTCGAGTGGCTCCGGGGCCTAGGCGGGGCGCCCGCGCTGCTGGTAGGCGACCTGAATTGCAACGTCGCCGAGTCGGGCCTGGAGGGCCTGCTGGGCATGGCCGGGTGGCGGGACCTCCTGGCGGCGGCTGCCCCTACGTGCATCCCCTCCGATGGGGCCCCATCGAGGCTGGACTACGTGCTGGCGAATCCAGAGGCGTTGGGGCTCGTCGAGCGGGTCGGCATCCGGTGGGGCCTTGGGTTCGCCACCCACGCGGCCCTCTGGGTGGAGTTGCGCGCGTCGGCCCCGGAGCGAGCGCTCATGAGGCGCCCCGTGCAGCGTCTCGACGGCGATGCCATTGAGGGCTGGGGGGCGCGGGAGGCCCGGGAGGCCGCCGCCACGGTGGTCGCTGGCTTCGGCACGCCCTTCCACGGCGCGCTGGGGCGGCACGACGTCGAGGCGGCATGGCAGTCGCTCCGCTCGGCCATGGCGGCATGGTTGGCGAGTCGGCGGGGGCTCCCAGCAGCTCCGCCCCGGCCCCATGCGGCTGCCACGGTGGCCGCCGATCGGCCGCCGACGAGAGGGGGGGGAGGCGACGCCGCGGATATGCAGGCGGACGCTGCCCTCCTCCGCCTTCGCCGCCTGCGCGGCCTCCGTCACGCGCAGCGGAGGGCCCCATCGGCGCGCGAGGTCGCGATGTCCACGCTGATGGCGCTGCGGCAGGCCGACGCCGACCATGCGGTCTGGCGGGCGGCGCTGGCAGACCTGCGACCGGACGTGGAGCTCCCGGCCACCTTGCTGGAGCATGCGGAGGCCGAATGGCGTGCCGCCCAGGCGGCAGCGCGATCCCAGCGCAGGCAGGAATGGCGCCGCTGGGCCCAAGAGAGTTTGGCCAACGCGCAGGGCCGTCTCTATCGATGGATCCGAGGCGGGTCGATTCTCGAGGCAGATTTGGTGCCCGACCCGGCGGCTGGCGCGGCGGCCGCAGCAGCCGGAAGCCGGAGCTGGCTCCTGGCGCTCCGTGGCGGCCCAGCGGCGCGCCTCCGCCACTTCGAAGGGCCGTGGCGCGCACTCTGGCAGCGGCAGTCGGCGCCGCCGCTGGGCGAGGAGTGGCTTCAGGCTTTGGATGGCCTCCCAGCGTTCCCCGAGCGGGTGCCCTGGACGGCGGAGACGGTGTCCTCGCTGCTTCGCCGCATGCCTCGGCGGAAGAAGCCAGGTCTAGACGGGTGGACCGTGAAGGAGCTTCGATTGCTGCCTCCGGAGCTGCACGGGTGGATCGCCGAGCTGTTCGAGGAGATCGAGGCCTGCGGGAGCTGGCCTAGCGAGCTGGTGGAGCCGGAGGGCCTCCTGCTCCCGAAGCCCGGGGGTGGCGCAGACCCCATGGACAGGCGCCCGATATGGCTCCTGCCCATCTTGTACCGCCTGTGGGCGGCAGGCAGGGCCCGCCTGTTCGCTCGGTGGCGCCTGCGGTGGGCCGGCGAGGAGGTCCAGCGAGGAGCAGAGGAGCTGGCCTGGGAGCTCGCGCTGGAGCTGGAGGCGGCGGAGGCGCTGTCCGAGACGATCGCCGGGGCGGCGCTCGATTGGCGGAAGGCGTACGACCACATCGACTTGGCCTCCCTGCCGGGCATCCTGGCGCGTGCCGGCGTCCCTCAATGGGTGTTGGCCCCAGCCCTGAGGGCCTACACGGCTCCGCGCCGGATCCGGGTCGGGCGCGCCATCGGCGAGACATGGCAGCCCGCGCGCGGGCTGCTGCCCGGCTGCGCCTTGGCCGTTTTCTTCCTGAGCGTCCTCACGCTGCCGTGGCAACAGCGCACGGGGGAGCTGGACGACCGGCTACGGCGGCGTATCTACGTCGACGACTTCACGCTGTGGGCGCGGGGCGGCCAGGGCGAAGCCGGCGAGGTGGCGGAGTCGGTCGCCAGCGCATTGGCCATCACTGCCGAGTTCGAGCTCGCCATGGGCTGGCGGCTCAATCGCGACAAGAGCCGGCAATTCGCGAACACCGCGGCGCTCCGCAGATGGCTGGCGGCCCAGACCCCTCTGATCCCTGCCGGGCGGCAGTTCCGTGACCTCGGGGTGGTCGCCGCCGCGGGCCGGGTGCCTCGCTGCGCCGTTGCCGGCTCCAGGGCGCGCGCAGCTGGAGTGCGGTTTGCGCGGATCGGGCGGCTCCCCTTGGAGTTCCGACACCGATGCATGCTGGGCGCTGCTGCCGGCACTTCGGCGGGGTTGCACGGCGCCTCGTGCGGCCGCCCACCTGCGAAGGAGCTGGCCGGGCTGCGGGCGGCTGCGCGGCAGGCTGTGTGCCGAGGCGGATTCCGCGCTGCCGCAGAGGTGGTTTTTGGGGTCCTGAGCCCGACGTGGCGGCTGGACCCAGCGGCGGTCGTCGCCCTCGCGCCGTTGTGGCAGGCGTCGAAGGCGCTCCGCAGAGGGCGCTTTCCTTTGGCACTCTGGCGGGCCACGGACGGAGCCCGCGCGGCCGGGCACGGCCGCGGCGCCGGCCCTGTCGCCGCGGCCGCCTGGAGCTTGGCGCAGCTCCGCCTCGGCGACGACGTCGAGCGCTGGACCGGCGTCCCTGCTGCAGACGGGTGGCGCCCGGCCGACCAGCCGCTCCAGGCCGCGCGCGCTGTGCTCCTCGAGGCATGGGCGCGCAGGGAAGCGGCTGCCGTGGCAGGCAGAAGGGCTGACTTCGCGCATGTCGCGCGCGGGGTGGACCGCTGGGCAACCAGGCGGCTGCTGGAGACTGGGGCCCTCGCGCCGGACGCGGCAGGGGCCTTGCGCGCAGTGCTGTCTGGGAACGTCGTGACAGAATCGGTGGCGGCGAAGTGGGGCAAGCCGGCCAGATGCCCGCACTGCGGCGCCGCCTGCGAGGATCGCGAGCACCGCTTCTGGGTCTGCCCAGCCTGGGGCGCCGACAGGGCCGCCGCCCTGGCGACGGCGCGGATCTCGCAGGCCGCGCTGCGCGCGCGGCTGCCGCCGGGCGTGGCGAACACGGGCGTGCTGGCGACGGATGTCCGGCTCGCCGCCCTCGCCGAGGAGGCCACACGGGCTCTGCCGCTAGCCCCGCTCCCGGCGGCCCAGATGCCCGTGCCGCCCCAGTCGCGCAGGAGGGCTTGGACTGACGGGGCGTGCGAGCGGCCACAGGACCCGCTGATGGCCCGGGCGGCTTGGGGGCTGCGCCTGGAAGGACCCCGCGGCACGAGCGACCACAGCGGGCCGGTGGACGCGGCGCAGACCGCGCAGCGGGCTGAGCTGACCGCCGCGGTCCAAGCTGTCAGCCTTGCGGGGGCGCCCGTAGAGGTCATCACGGACTCCCGCTACGTCCGCAATGGCGTTGCCGCCCTGCGCGCCGGCGCGTGCTACCTCGACTGGACGCACTCCGACCTTTGGGAGCGAGTCGCGGAGCACAGCCGGAGCGGCTTCCTCACGGCGCGCTGGGTCAAGGGCCACACGGCTGCCGAGGAAGCGCTCGCCCGGGGGCTGTCCGCTGAGGACAGGGCGGGCAATGCGGCCGCCGACCGCCTGGCGGGGGAAGCGGCCAGGGTCCGCCTCCCCCCGCCCGCGCTCTGCTTGGAACGCGACTTCCAGCTGACGGCGCTGGCCGCGGCGCAGCGCGTGCTCGCCGCGGTCGAGCTGGCGGCCTTGCGAGCCAACCACGAGAGCCGCGGGCCCGAGGGCCCGCGCGTGCGCCGCCGCTGGACGGCCGCGCGAGGGCCCCGCGCCGCCAGGAGGGCTCAGCCGCCGCCCGCGGCGCAGGCGGCGCCGGCTCCCCCTCCGCCGCCGCGCCGGCGGACCCGGGCAGCGATTGAGGCCGGCGGGGCCGTCGCGCCTCCTGCGCCGGCCGAGGCAGCGCGCGCCCTCTTCGCAGGCGCCGCATGGAGGGTGCACGCAGCTGCGCAGGGCCCGGGCTGGGTGGCGTGCCTGCGTTGCGGCGCTTCGGCGGCGCGGTGGGCGCAGCTGTCGGCGAGGCCCTGCCCGGGGTGGGCGCTGGCGCTGCCCCCGCGGGCGGCGATGCTGCTGCTGACGCCGGCGGTGCGTGCCGGCGGTGGCTCGGAGGCTTGGCGGGCCGCCTTGGAGGCGCGGCTGCGGGCTCGGCCGGGGCCGCCAGACTAGTTAATTCGTAATTCGGTGCACCTCCTCCCCCCTCTTCCTCCTCCTCCTCCTCCTCCTCTCTCTTCAGCCGCGGGGCGCCCTGTTCGCATCGTAAAAAAAAGTGTGTCTGTGTCTGTGTCTGTGTGTGTGTGTGTCTGTGTGTGTGAGTGTGTGTGTGTGAGTGTGTGTGTGTGGAGGCTTTCCACCCTGAGATGCATTCTATCCTCGGACCCCGTTGCATGGAGGGGTATATGTGCGGGTGCGAGTCCCTGGAGGAAGACTGAGCTTCACGCAAGTCGAGACTGCCTGACTCGCTCGCTCGGCTCGGTGCTGCTGGGAAGGGGCAGCGGAGGGGGGGAGGTGCAGCATGCCTTGCCATGAAGCCTGCCCGAATCTGCACTGAAACGCGCAGTTGCTTGGGGGGAGGAGCCTCTGGAGGCATCCAAGGACTGCTGGAGCAACCAGCGAACTCCGCAGAACCCTCCCCCTCTCGCGACGCATCTGTGTCGCAGCGTGGGCCCCAGGAGTCTCGACCTCTTCACGGGGAGCGGCCATCCGTCCAGAATCGTGGTTCGACCGTCCTGGCGCTGGGCAGCGGCCGCAAGAGGCAGGCACAGCTTGCCGTCGCGAGGTTGCTGCCACGCGCAGATCTGCGGGCACCCAGACCGCCCGAGGTCCTCGGACGTCTCGGTGTCGCCCCCGGCGCGGCGGTGCCTCCCGTGGCTGGAGGCGGCGGCCAGCCACCAGGACTCGCGGAACTTCTGGCCCCAGTGCCCGAACTCCTCCTCGGCGCGGCGGTGCCTGCCAAGCCAGGAGTCGGCGGCAGCCCTCCAGGACTCGCGGTACTTCTGGCCCCAGTGCCCGAACTCCTCCTCGGCGCGGCGGTATCTGCCATGCCAGGAGTCGGCGGCCACCCGCCAGGACTCGCGGATCTTCTGGCCCCAGTAGCCATCGGACGACGACTCGGTGTCGCCCTCGGCGCGGCGGTGCCTGCCGAGCCAGGCGTCGGCCGCCAACCGCCAGGACTCGGGGAATCTCTGGCCCCAGTACCCGAGCTTCTCCGACGACGCCTCGACGTCGCCCCTGGCGCGGTGGTGTCTGCCGTGCCAGGAGCTGGCTGCCACCCACCAGCACTCACGGAACTTCTGGCCCCAGTACCTGGAGGCCACCCAACTGGGGTCCGAGCAGATGGGGTCGGAAGAATGCGCCGCGCCGTCGCTGCATCGGCGCCGTCGGGAGGGAACAAGTCGGGCTCATGATCGCGCCGTCTCGCCGACGCGGCGATCCTGCGACCCCATCCGCTCCAGCCCCATTCGGGTGGCCCCGAGCACTGGACCTCCTCCTCGAACTGGCCCTGGAGCCAGGCGAGCCTGCCGTGGAGCCCGCAGCTGCTCGGCAGCCCCCCCCGCAGCGTCTGCAGGGCCCGAGCACCCCCCGCCTGTGCCTGGGCGAGCCTCGCCTGCAGATCCGCGGCCCTCGCGGCAAGCTCCTCCTGCAGCCTCTGCCCCGCGGAGCTGAGGTTGGCGCGCACCAGCTCCCAGCAGTCCCAGCTGGCGCAGGTCGGCTGGGGCTCGTCGACCTCCTGGCGGCGCGCACAAGGGGGGTGGCGCCAGGGGGGCGGCCTTCGTCGACAGGCTTGCGTCGTGTCGACTCCTGACGTTGGCTCCTGACGCCACGGGAATCGTTCAGCCTGGAGCGATCGGGCGTTTCGGAAACTCCGGAGCGTTCAACGATGGGCCGATTCTGGGCCGCAAGCGGCGTTCAAACTCAAACGCAAGCGGCGAGGTCGCCGCTGGTCGACACGACGCGAACCTTCTTTCTGTAAGCATGCAGCGGCCTCTCGGATGCGGGCTGCCTTTCAAGTAGGCACGCCTTGCACTCTGAGCAGGCGCCCACCCCTCGCGCTCACCCCCTCCGACGAACGAGCAAACGATTTTTGTTTGCGCCGTCGGCCCCCCAGGATCTCGACCTCTTCATGGCGGCAAGCACAAGGGGGTAGGGAGGAGGGGGGAAGGCTTCTTTGAAGGAGACCACCTCTTAGAAGGCGGTCTCCTTCTATCTATAGATAAGGCCCGCGCCTTCTAAGACGCAGGGATGGTTCTAAGAAGCCTTCCCCCTCCCCCTACCCCCTCTGAGCGTGGCTGATCTCCCTCGGGCCATTTTCTCATCGTGCTGGCAGGATAAGGGGCTGGGAGGAGGAAGGCCATGAGCAAGAGCATCCGGGTGCAGTGAACGATGCCTTCGGCCGCCCGCGGGTGACGACGTCCTCACGTCTCCCAGGCCCACCGTCGATCAACCCGACAGTTGTCGTCGAAGGATTGCAAAAAGAACCTTCGAAGGTTTTTTGCAATCCGTCGAAGGTTTTTTTTTGCAATCCTTCGAAGGTTTTTTTGCAATCCTTCGTTCGAGTTGTGCTGACGGCCCCGGGGCCGGGAAGCGGCCCCCCGAGGCCAGCCCCGAAGACCAGCCGGCCGCCGCGGCGTCGCTGCGCAGCACCCGGGGCTCGGAGGTCTGTGCGCCCCGCCGGCCTCCGCGGCCCGCGTCGCGTTCCGCAGGAGGGCGAGGCTGTCCTGCCAGGACTCCCGCGTCTTCCTGTCGGGGGTAGACTTCTGTCGGGCCTGTCCCCCTACGGGCGGGTTTTGGACGAAGAATGAGAAACAGTCAAACAATACGCCAAACATGTTCAACAGTTGTCAAGAGAAACGTCCCCGGACTATTTTTGGACTATTTTCAGGCACTCCCCCTGTAGAGGTGCACGCCCGACCTAAGGGTAGACCAAAACACTTCGACTTGCCACCGCACGGGCGTCCATTCCCCGTGCACTTTTGCCCGACTTCGCGCCTGGTTTGTCTGCTCGGTGTTCCAGGCGGCTCCTCGATGGCGCTCCCCGAGAACAGATGCACAAGTCCGAGCGATGCCGAGGTGACGTGGCGGGCTGCCCCCGCGCACGTCGGAGGCGCGCGGCCCGGCGCGCCGCGACTCCCTGCCCCCCCTGCCAAGGATAAACCGAAGCACTGTGACGTGACGGGCTCTTGGCTGCCCCGATGCGCAACACGCAAGACGTGGCTGGCGTATTGATGCTGAGCTCAACGCGTAAACTGGAAACGTAGGCATGGAACGATGCGTTCGCCAAAACGTGGGCCAGCACGCTGAGCCAACACGCAGCGCACTGACACGGGCGTTTTGAGCACGCTGCGTGCTGCGTTTTAAAACGGGCGCATCGAGGCAGCTGGAGACGAGCTGCTTTCGTGCACGTCGGAGGCGCGCGGCCCGGCACGCCGCGGCGGGCCCGCCGCGGCGTGCGCCAGCTGTGACGGACGATCAACACGCACGCATACCCATAGGGGGGACGGAGTGAGCTCTGGGTGCGTGTGGTTGGATGGGGGCCCCCGCTCCAACGGGAGCCTCCCCAGGGGTCCGAGCCCGCACCCATGCCCATGGCCAGCCCTTCTCCCTCCGACCTCCCTATGGGCATTGGTGTGTGTGTGTGTGTGTGTGTATGTGCGCGCGTGTGTGTGTGTGGTGTGTGTGTGTGTGTGCTGTTCGTTCGTCAAGCTGGCGCGTGCTGCTGCGCAAGGGGGCAGCGGCGCGGCGGCCTCGAGGCTCGCGGGCGGCGGGCGGGGAGGGCCGGCGGAGGCGGCGGGTTCCGCTCGGGAGGCGGGGCGGGGGGCAGGCCCTCGGCCCGCGGGCGCGGCCAGTCCCGTCCTCCCGTTGTGCGTCGACGCGCCGTTGTCGCTCTGACGCGCGTGGAAGCCAAAACTCAGAAGGAGGAGGAGGAGGAGGAGGAGGAGGAGGAGGAGGAGGAGGAGGACTTTTGACTGCACTTAGCTCGTCGCAAGTAGCTTGAGCGGGGCGGCCGCAGGTCGGCTAGGCGGCAGACAGAGCCCGCCTAGCGGGCACTACAAAGGATCTCCGCTCCTGGTCCGTCCGCAAGCAAAAGCGATTCTTCGCCATTGGACCTGCATGTTGGGCGGGGGAGGTATTGGCACCGAAGGGGAGGGAGGGGGAGTATATGAGGAAGAGAAGGGATCGGTGCCGTGCGAGAGTCACTAAGCGCGCCAGCTAGGCGTTGCCCTATGCGGGCAGCGCTGAAAGACCGAAGAGCAGCACAGCTGGCCTCAGGAACGGCCACCTGGGAGCATGGCTTAGCCATGGATATGAGCGGGATGAGTAGGAAGAGAGCCAAAATGGCAGTGCCGCGCTGTAGGGCGGCAGTGTCGGAGCGGACCAGGAGGGAGAGGCTGGCATTGCCGCCTAGAGACCTAGGAAGCCCCATCGGAAACGCACGTGACCGGTAAGGGGGGCAGGTAAGAGAATGCCTGTGCTGTACTTGGTTTCTTAGTGTTAGCGGGATTCGCCGACACGTGGTAAGAGGAGGAGGGAGGAACTCTAGGGGGGGTGAAGGAGTATCTTGCACAGCCAAGAAGCACAAAGGCGAAGTAGCTGTCCGCAGCAGGTGCGCACCTCTGACGGGCAGCATTAGCCGAGAGATACTCGGCAGGAGGGAGGGGGGGGTCCCCGGAGGATGCTCTGCCAAGGAGCTGCCGTGAGCGGAAAAGGCCATTTGCGCCGAAGACGGCCGCATGGAGACCAGCTATATGCCAAGACGGTGCAACGTATGACATAACATTGCATTGGAAAACGCGTTGCTAGCTTTGTCTGGCCGGCCGTGCCGAGGAAGAGGGAGGAATCGAGTAAACTGTCATGGCATTGTCTGTAGGACCACTCTGCGGAAGATGACTGGTAGCGCCTGCGGCTTCGCCGAGACCTGCAAACTTGAGGCGGAGTGCCGCTGAGACAAGTGCGTGACAGGTGCATGCGCACTGCGCCGAGTCGGAAGCCACAGGGCTGCTGAAAGCTGTCTACGGTCGCTGTCCAAAAATCCTGACGCCGAATGTGGTGTGGTCCCTCGGCCTGGTGTGCGAATGACCCTGGACATGGAGCGTACTGCACGGCACGTAATACGTAATGCGCGAGGAAAGGACCAGGAGGAGGGAGTGCCAAGGGGCAAAAAAGAGGATCGAGGAGATGCACTGAGTGGGCTTTCAGTGTCAACCGTCAACGTATATCGGCTTGTGCGCGTAAAGCGGCTGAGCCACGCAGTGCAAGTCGTAAGAGTGCTGCGACCTAGCATCGAGCATTGGCTTGGCCTTACCAGAGGCCTTCGCGCTCTGGGCGGCCTCGGCCGAGCGTCCTAGCACTGTTGCGAGCTGTGCTGTTCCCGGCGGCCCTCGCTGTCGGGCGGACGCAAATGCAAAGTGTGGCATGCCGCTCAATGGCAAAAGCGCTTATAGGACGATGACCGTACCCTAGATCCAAAACTGGACATGTGATGCCGATAAGGCAGGCGGCGAGAGGCGCTCGAGCGTGAGCAGAGAGCAAAGAGCAGAGAGCTGTGCATGGGATGCACATGCCTGTGCCGTGTTTGTGTGACGCTTGTCCATGCGAGTACATGGCCATTTAAGGGTGAAACACGGGACGAACCAAGGCGGAGGAGGAGGATGGACAAGCGAACGAATATGGTAGACAAAAGCGCAAATACAGGTGCACAGGAGGAAAGAAGGGAGAGAGAGGCACGGCGTGAGCACGGCGTCATCGCATCGCGCCGACCCTGACGGGCAAGCGACCCAGCGGTAGCCGGCTTTTGGGCCAGAATACTAAAGCCGCCTCGAGCGGAGAGCCCTCAGGGCTGGGTGCACGAGGCCGTGAGACTCGAGGGGCGCCGATGCTAGCTCTTGTTCGCTGCGGCCGGCTGCCTCGGGCCGGTGGGCTAAGTGCTTACGCGGGCGCAGTGTGAGACGACTCACGTCTGTGCTGCCTCTGAGTCTTCAGCATCAGAGGACGGAGGCAGATCCCAATAGGGGCGCCCCAAAGGCAACGAAGGAGCGGTTGCGGTAGCCGTCCGTGCGGCAGCCGCCGCGTCCAGTGCCGCTCGCGCAGGAGTGCTAGTGAAAAAAGGCCGGGGGCTGCCAGGTCGTGGCGGTCTCAGAGCCGTGGGGCACGGCTGTGGCGCCCCGGACATTGAGACCGCCTGCGCCCTCGGAGAGGCTGCTGAAAACCTGTGCGTGGCTGAGGGCTGCGTGGAGGCCCTAGGCTGCTGCACGGTCGCCGGCGTATGCACTGGCACTGCTGGCGTATGTACCGGCACAGGTACTGGCACTGGTAATGGCTGAGGCACTGCTGGCGTATGTACTGGCACTGCTGGAGCTGGGACTGCTGGCGTATGTACTGGCACTGCTGGCATTGGGATTGCTGACATTTGTACTGGCACTGCTGGCATATGCACTGCTGGCGTATGTACTGGCACTGCTGGCGAATGCGGAATTGGCACTGCTGGTATTGGTACTGGCTCAGGTACTGGCACAGGTACTGGCACTGGTACTGGCTCAGGTACTGGCGCTGGTACTGGTGAGGCGGCGCGCGCTACGGGGGCAGGCTGCGGTGCCCGCTCGGCTGCGGCCGTGGACAGAAGAGCCGCATGAAGCGCGCCTCCCAGCCGGGAGCTGCACGAGCCGCGATGCGCCAGCGCGTCGAAGGCCCGCAGCAGGCCCTGCACCGCTCGCGCGTCGGCGCGGCGGTACTGCTCACGCCGGGCCGCGGCACTGCGGGGGGGCCTGCGACGGGGCCGGGCCGCCCGCTCGGGGGAATCCATGGCGCGCCCGCTGAGAGGGGCAGGGGGGGGGAAAGGAGGAAGCGGCGCGGGGGGGCGCCCGTGGCGCTGGCTGGCAGAGCAGATGCTCGGGCCAGCTTGCGCTGGAGGAGGAGGAGGAGGAGAGGGAGGAGGAGAGGGAGGAGGAGAGGGAGGAGGAGGAGGAGGAGAGGGAGGAGGAGGAGAAGGAGGAGGAGGAGGAGGAGGAGGAGGTGGTGGAAAGTATCGTTTCACCGGCCCCCATCCCCATCCTCATCCCCTTCGAGGCCCCCACCAAATTGCCACCCCAGTTGGGGATGCACCACTCGAGACCCGAAGGGAACGGCCTATTTTCCCATCTAGGGGGGTAGATCGACCAGTGGGGCCCAGGCCACGCCGCTGTGGAGGGGGGTCGGATAAACGGTGCTCAAAAACGGCCCTTCCGATTGCCCCTAGCGGCGTTTTGGCGCAGATCCGAGGTCGTGCTTGGCCAATGGTAGGCCCCAGGATGAAATCAGACCGAGAACGGCGAGAAAACGAAGAAAAGATCCACAAGGGTGCCAAACCAACGTGTTGGTCGACCCCTGCTTCCTGTCCCAGTACTCGCACTCCTCCACGAGCTGGCTCCTCAGTCTCGCAAGCTTCTCGCTCAGCCCCCAGGCGGGCTCCGTCAGCCACTGCGCGCCCGAGGATTTTGGCGCCTGGGGTGGAGACGGAAAGACCAGGGAGGGATGCCTCTGGGAAGCGGCTTGGAAACCTGCACCGCGCAGCTCCGCTCAGCGCCGCTCGTGAAGGGCGCGGTGTCGAGCGGTGTTTCGCGGCGCTGTGCTGCTCTGGCGAGCCGTGATCTTGTCTGACTGACTACCTACCAGACCACCCCAACCCAACCCGAAGACTCGAATTTCGGGTTGGGGGGGGGTATGGGCTCCATATGTGTTTTTTTCGATGTTCCCAGACCCCCCCCCACTAGAAATGGAGGGTAAATCTGAGCCTTCGGGCTGGATTGGGGTGGTTCGGTGGGTGGTGACTGACAAGATCGTGCGGTTGGGACTCGTAGGGTGCCCGCCGACAGGCGTGGTCCAAAACCGACGACGGTCGCTGGCGACGCTCTTCCCAAGTAGATGAGCAACGTTGGCGGCGACCCCCGACGTCATGATTTTTTCATGACGCGACCCCCACAGGTCTGGACCCATTCGCCAGGACCGGTTTTTCGTCCTGAGTCGTTTTTTGACGGTCCCGAGGCCCGGCGAGGGCCCCCGGAGGCCGAAAATAGCGAAAACCCCCCCGTCGTGATTTTTTCATGACGCGAGGAGGTCTGGGTTGGCGGCGACCCGACCTTCGTGATCACCGTGCCCCTCCCCATTCCGGCCCTCCCGGGAAGCGGCCTGCAGCCCCGCGACCCGGTCCTGCAGGCCCTGCAGCCCAGAGGCGAGGCCCGCCTGGGGAAGGCCGCGCCGCTCTCAGTCGGGCGCGGGACCTCCGTCGAGGTCCCGGCTCTGTCGAGGGGAGGGGAAAGAGGGAGGGAGGGAGGGAGAGAGGGAGGAGGAGGAGCAGGAGGAGCAGGACGAGCAGGAGGAGGAGGAGGAGGAGGAGGAGGAGGAGGAGGAGGAGGAGGCCGGACGTGGAACATGGGGGCCGGGAAACTCTGCACAACGGACCGTCCCCTTAGTGGGCCCTGGAAACGACAGGGCCGTTTTTACCGGTTCCGTTTTGCCGTTTTTGCTACCCGTTCCGACGCCGTTTTTTTGTACCGGTTCCGTCGCCGTTTTTTGACCGGTCCCGGCTCCGGCTCCAATCCCGGAGCCGTTTTTTTGCCGTTTCCGGTCGCCGTTTTCTTGCCGTTTCCACTTTCAAGGGGCATTTTTTGGGGAAACGGTGAAAAAACGGCCCTGCCGTTTCCGGGGCCCACAAAGAACGGACCCCGTAGCCGAGCAGTCCACGCGGTGTGCTGCAGGCTCACGTCGAAGTGACGCTGTCGGCATCGGCTTCCGACGCCGCGCGGACCGTTCGACCGGAAGCGAGCGCGGCGTTCCGACAGCGCGGCTCGCCCGACGTCGGCCGCTTCCATGGCAGCGGCGGCGTTCGTTCTTGAACCGCCCACGCTGGGATCGCCGCAGCGTCTACGCCTTGCGACGGCCCAACCCTCTCGGAAAAGGCCTCCAAGGCCCAAAAACTAAGACAGTTTGTTCCCGTAGCGACTTGTTCCCCAATCAAAGCTTGCCTCTGTAGGGGTCCTAGCGGATTCATATGGTTAGGTTAGGTTTGCCGCCGATTTTCGGTGCACGCCCGGGTGCCCATGTGCCTGGGGGTGCCCGGGGGTGAGGTTGGCCGCCGATTTTCGCTGCACGCCCTGGTGCCCGGGTGCCCGGGTGCCCGGGTGCCCGGGCGTGCCCGGGCGTGCCCGGGCGTGCACGGGGGTGCCCCGGGGTGCCTGGGGGTGCCCGGGGGTTCCCTATAGCCCTATAGCCCAAAAGCCCAATAGCGCTATAGCCCTACAACTCTATAGCCCTAGAGCTCTATAGCCCTATAGCTCAATAGCCCTATAGCCCCCTAGCCGAGCCCTATAGCCCTGATTGGGGTTTCTCTCCGGTATCATTCTGTTTTTTCTTGCCACGCCTGGAACAACCGGTCGACCCTCCGAAATCTGCCCCTGGACATCTCCTGTGCGCCATAGCCTTCGGATATCATGAAGAGCCGTCTGGCGGCCGCAGTCAGTCAGTGAAGCCGTGCGCATCCAGTAGGACGCGCTGGCGCAGCACAGCAGACACGCCAAACGCATGCCTAGGCGGTCGAGCTGCACGCCAAACGCGCGGCCAGACATATTGGACGAGAGGACGCGCCAAAGGCGCGACAGGAGGACGAGGGAAGAGAGAGGAGGACGAAGAAGTGACAAAAGAAAACAACAGGATCGCTCCCAGCCAGGATCACCCCCCCCCCAAAAAAAAAATCCCAGCCAGGATTTCTACTCGCGACGCCCACCCTCGACCTCCACACTCCGCACCTCCCGCGCCGCCGCGGCCGCCGCGGCGGCTGCTGCCGAGGCCGCATGAGGCGGTCTCGGCGGTCGCCGCGGAAGGCTTGGGAGGTGCCGGCCAAGGCCCCAAATCGGGGATGGACAGACCCCCCTTTAGTAAAACGTGGTTTAGTGAAAACGACCTGAGGCCCAAACCTGGCGGGCGCAAGCCTGGGAAATAACGGCCAAGGCGCCCTCTCGAGAACCGAAAGCGGACAATTCACTAATCGACGTGTCACTGTTGGGGGTTCTGTCCACCCCCGACCAAAGGTCCTGGCTTCCCCTGGGGCACTCCGTCTTTTCATGGACTCCGCCCTCAATTTGGCGTAGCGGGGCGGTCTTTTAAGGCGGGCGGGCCAGAGGAAAGGGGGCCATAATTGAAAGGTGCTTGATCAGAGGAGCGGCGCGTTTTCAATACAGTGAAGGATCTGGAGCAGTCTTCCGTCCTGGATCCATGTGGTGCCCAGAACTGGGCTCCAGAGGCCGAGATCCAGGACAAAACAAACCTGGACCGGACGAATCGGAGATCTGTGAGGGACAAGGAGGGACATTGTTTTTTCCTTGATCTGTTTCGCTTACGTAAAAGGATCCTGGTAGTTGAAATATATGAAAGGAAAGTCCCGAGGACGCCCGGTCTGGCAACCGTTTCGCCTGAGACGTCCTCATAATTATCCAACCGGTGCTTGCTGTTGTGGTGTTCTCATTAGCCCGTTGGCGGCCCCGTCGCCGCCTTGTCGCCGCACCATGCTTCCCAAAGAAAGGCCCGCTGGCGGGCCTGGCGAGACCGTTCCCGTCCGTCGCCGTCCCGTTGCACCCCCCCCCATTGCATTGGAATTGCGTTGCCTAACGATCGCATTGCATTGCAATGCTTTGAATTTCTGTGCTTTGCTTTGGTTTGTATTCCATTGCATTGCTTTGCGGTGCATTGGTTTGCATTGAATTGCATTGCCGTGCATTGCGTTGCGTTGCTTTGCATTGCTTTGCATTGCTTCGCATAGCGTTGCATTCCGTTGCAGTGCGTTGCGTTGCATTCCGTTGCTTTGCAATCGCCTTGTTTTGCTTTGCATTGGTTGGCATTGCTTCGCGCTCCTTTGTGTTGCTTTGCGTCGCCTTGCAGCGCGTTGCTTTGCACCGCGTAGGTTGCACCACATGGATTGCACCGTATTGCTTGGACCACGCAGATCGCACCACACAGATGGTAGGGAATCGCTGTTTGGGGCCCAGATTGGCTCGCATTCCCACGAATAATGCCTGCGCTCAGGGCTTCTAGCTCCTGTTACAAGGAACTGGGCCCGGCTGGCGGTCTGGCTATGTTCTCGCCATCGCCGCCTCGTCGACGCCTTGTCGCCGCCCGTCGTCTTGGCCTCGGTGGCGGTCTGGCGGCTGTGTTCTCGCCATCGCCGCCCTGTCGCCGCCTTGTCGCCGCCCGCCCGTCGTCTGAGCCTGGCTGGCGGCCTGGTGGCTATGTTGCTTCCGTTGCCGCCCCGCCGCCGCCCGTCATTTGGGCCTGGCTGGCGGTCTGGCGGCTGCGTTGTCGCCGTCGCCGCCCCGTCGCCGTATCGTCGCCACCAGTCGTCTGGAAAATAGATGGCACCACGTAGATGATACCGCATCCTTTACACAACATAGATGCCACAACAGTGGATGGCACACGTGGGTTGCGCATCGCAAACCCAAACACATAGATTGCACCAAATCTATTGCACCACGCATATCGCCCAACATCGATAGCATCGGAGATTGCACCACAGGAACTGCAACACATCCCTTGCACCACACACATTGCACATGGTCGGTTGCACATCTTCTATTGCACTGCGTGTGTTGCACAACGCAGGTTCTCCCTCCAACAAAAACCACAAGTAGGATCTACCTCCGCCAGGAAATATTCGCCCGGCCCCGCGCATTGCAATTTACAACCGGTTCGGACCCATCCGTTCAATGTTCATATGAACCCACACCATCCCAGAAAAGGCTTGTCTCCGCACCCCAAATCCCGCACAAAAGCCCAACGAGCGCATACTCATTGATCAAACTCATCAATTTAGGAGAAAAGCATTTGGCCAACGAACGAAGTCCACACACGATGGTCGTCGCGCGCGCATACTGAATTCAAAACCCTTCGAAGCAGCCAGGGTTTCAAAATCGATTGTCCCGAAAGCATATAAACAAACCAACGGTTTTGCAACACGAGCTGTCGAACACATCTGCGCGAACGCTCTCTTGCTTTAAAACTTAAATGGCCTTCTCGCACGCGCATACCGGAATTAATCGAGCATCCCTGCGCGCGTGCTGGGGGGGGGCATCACCTTTTCCGAATAATACCACGCGGGCCAATCGCGCGCGTCGGCCGCGCGTACATGTCGAAACCCTTCCAAAGCATTCATTCGTTATCGACGCGAGGACACTATCATCGTCACCGGCGTGATCCGCATCGGGGCCGTCATTGGCCTTGCTGTCGTCATTGGCGCCATCGTCGCCACCATCTCTATCATCATCGTGTCTGCCGTTGTCGGCGTCGCCATGATACCGCGCCAGCCCGAATCACCGATTCACGCAAAAGTGCCCACGCGTCAGCGCGGCCTGCGAGACGCGCTGGGAAATGCCCAACGGTCAGCGCCACCGCAGCCCCGTCGGTCGCGCCAGACCAGCTGGCCGCTCTGCGCGCGAACCCGCGCGCGCTAGCGCGGCCGCACCGATGTGCCAGCCCGCGCCAAGCAGTGTTGGCAATGAATGCCGCATGCGTTTAGCAAACCGATGCGCGGGTGGGTGGATGGGATGGTTGCGCGGGCATGGGAGGTGGTCACGCGCAGCTGCAGAATAGTCAATTGCACCACAGATATCGTTCCACATATATTGCTCCACACATATTGCACCACAGTTAGGTTGCACACAATATGTACTTCACAAGATGCACACACATATATATATAGAGAGAGAGAGAGAGAGAGACTGCTAGAAACACACGTTGTGGGGCCCACGCTGGCTGACATCTGTTCAGGGAAGATGATGTGCCCTCAATGTTGGCGACCTTTCTTGCCCGTGCAGCCACGGTCTCCAATAAACAGCTCTCGTTTTACTTCCGCGGGCTTCCGCCCCACTCCGCCGCCTTCCGCCGAGGAAGGGATGGCAACTCCTTCGATACCCAAAATGCCGTGGCCCTTTCTGGAACGCCTCACATACGCGAAGAGTGCCGTGGCCGTGCGCTCAGCTCACATACCTGGGAGTGCACGTCTTCACGAGCCAACCTTCCAATCCTCGACACCCCCGTGGTGCAACCAGAAGGTACGAATCTCGGTACTCCCTGGACCTCTCCTGGGCGCGTTCTGACCAGGACTTCGAGGCGAATCCAGCGGTGGCGACGAGGGCTCCCAGGAGGCCCAGGAAGGCGAAAACAGGGGAAGGGTAGCGACATTCGCTGTTCAGGCGGCTCGCGCGAGGTGCCAGGGGAGGGGGGGAAGGCTACTCAGAAGGAGGCCTCTTCTTAGAAGGCGCCGGCACTACATCTACAGACAAGGCCCGCACCTTCGAAGGAGCAGGGGTGCTTCTAAGAAGCTTTCCACCCTCCCCATCGAGTCGAGTTTGATTGGAGAGGGCACGCGAGAGGACGCAAAACCCTTTCGAGGGCCACATTGCCACAGGAATGTAGAAGGAACGGGTCGCGAAACACATGACAGAAGGGAAACCTTTGATTTGGCAGGGTCGACCTACTGATCAAGGGCTGAACTGCGCGTGGCTTGAGTGGCAACGATATGGTAGGACTGGCGTATCAATTGGGGGGGGACATCGACCTGGATCGGCGATACGTCGCCGATAGATCGGCGATAGGCCCCAGGTGGTCGATCAGCACGCTCCCGGGCAGGTTGGGGCCATCGGGCCCCCATCGGCGATTGGGGGTCGATGTGCCCTCGCTATATGCCCAAACATGCGACGTCCTGATTTTTTCTTTACGGGGTCCCTGGAAGTCCCGACCCTTTCCCCGGAACCCGTTTTTCGTCCGGAATCGTTCTCTGACGGTCCCGCTGCCCTGCGAGGGCCCCCATCAGGCCGAAAACGGCTAAAAACCTCCCGTCCCGAATTTCTAACGTCGCGATCAGGTCTGGGGGCCTACCCCCCTCTACGTACCCTGGCCCCTCATGGCTGAGTGCCATCGGAGCGCACTGCTGGGCGTCGCTCTGCGACGCCCCGCTCTTCGGGCCTGCAGCCGCTGGGCGCGGGCGGCGAGGCTGGAGAGCCCGAGGCCTGCGGGCCCGCCGGCCTCCCCGGGCTGGCCAGTGGGCCCGCCAGCGCCTGGGGCAGTGCTCCGTAGGGTTAAGTCAAGCATGTCCCTCCACAGAGAGAAGATTAAAAAATGATAGAATGACGCTACCGAGGAGCCCCACATCCTCCGTCAAAAACTGAGGATCTCGCTTGTGCTAGCATGTCTAGCGTGCCACAAACGTGGATGCTGCTGCTAGTCGCTGCCCTGTCGATACCGTCGGCAACGTCAGCCAAGCACTGGCAGCCCAACAAGGATGTCGGACGCACTCGTAACACACCGTATATTTGTGCGGTGCGCACTCAATCATTGTGCTCGTCACGTTGTCATCCTCTACGCAAGACCTCAACACTCACAACGCGGCATTACGTGAACCTCCTCCCTCCTCCTGTCTTCCCTTGTCCATCCTGCCTCCATCCCACTCCGACATGTTGTGTCGAGGGAGTGCCACGCCTGCCACGCTTTGCGAGCCAGCAACGGATAGGGGGACCACCCCCAGCGCACCCCTTGTGGTTTCGAGGAAGTGCCACGCCTACCACGCTTTGCAAGCCCACAACGGATAGGGGGACCACACCCAACGCACGCCCTGTGATGTCGAGGAAGTGCCACGCCTGCCATGCTTTGCGAGCCCACAGCGGACAGGAGGACCACCCCCAGCGCAAACCCAATGGTTTCGAGGAAGTGCCACGCCTGCCATGCTTTGCGAACCCGCAACGGATAGGGGGACCACCCCCAGCGCACCCCCTTTGGTGACGAGGAAGTGCCACGCCTGCCACGCTTTGCGAGCCCGCCACGGACAGGGGGATCACCCCCAGCGCACCCCTTGTGGTTTCGAGGAAGTGCCACGCCTGCCACGCTTTGCGAGCCCGCAGCGGATAGGGGGACCACCCCCAGCGCACCCCTTGTGGTTTCGAGGAAGTGCCACGCCTGCCACGCTTTGCGAGCCTGCAACGGACAGGGGGACCACCCTCAGCGCACGCCCTGTGGTGACGAGGAAGTGCCACGCCTGCCACGCTTTGCGAGCCCACAGCGGTCAGGGGGACCACCCCCAACGCACACCCTGTGGTGTCGAGGAAGTGCCACGCCTGCCACGCTTTGCGAGCCCGCAACGGGTAGGGGGACCACCCCCAGCGCACCCCCTGTGGTGACGAGGAAGTGCCACGCCTGCCACGCTTTGCGAGCACGCCACGGATAGCGGGACCACCCTCAACGCACCCCTTTGTGGTGTCGAGAAAGTGCCGTCGGTGTGCCGTCTGTATCTGAGTCTGTGGCTGTGGCTGTGTGTGTGTGTGTGTGTGTGACAGCGTGTGTGTGTGTGTGTGTGTTTGTGCGTTTGTGTGTGATTGCGTGGGTGTCTATGTGTGTACGTCTGTGTGTGTGTGTGTGTCGGTGTGTGTGTGTGTGTGTCTGTGTGTGTGTGTGTCTGTGTGTGCCTCTGTGTCAGGAGAGGGAGAAAGGGGAGGTGAGGTGTGAGCTTCGCGGGCCGGACGCGGGAGGGAAGAAAACCAGAACCCCACCACCAAGCATGTATGGCCACGACGTTTCGACTACGTTTGACCATTTTTGAATGGTGTCGGACTGTTGTCTATGTGTCCTACAGGGTCCGTCCGCCTGTAAGAGGACATGCCCTACCTAACAACAGGGGGCGGCACGGTCAGAAGCCCAGACCCCCTCGAGTCATGAAAACATCAATGGGACGCACAGGGACATACATATACGACCACCCTTCGGGTGATAAGGAGGTTGTGTGTGGGGGGGGAGAGGGGAGGGAACCAACATCTGACTCAATCGATCTCACTGTCGATCTCACTCAACGGGACACCAGGGGACACCAGGGGACACCACGGGACACTTACTTGTCGATCTCACTATCGATCTCACCCAACGGTACACCACGATACACCACGGGTCACCACGGGACACGACGGGACACCGCGGGACATCTCTCGATCTCACTATCGGTCCCACTGTCAATCTCACTATCGATCTCACTCAACGGGACACCATAGGACACCACGGGACACCACGGGACACCTCGGGACACCACATCGATCTCAATATCGATATCACGATCGATCTCACTATCGATCTCACTCAACGGGACACCACGGGACACCACGGGACACCTGTCGATCTCGCTAGCGATCTCACTATCGATCTCACTTTTTGGGACACCACGGGACAGCACGGGACACCTCGGGGCAGCACATCGATCTCAGTATCGATCTCACTATCAATCTCACGATCGATCTCGCTCAATGGAACACCACGGGACACCACGAGACACCTGTTGATCTCCCTATAGATCTCACTATCGATCTCACTTTTTGGGACACCACGGGACACCTGGGGGCACCACTTCGATCTCAGTATCGATCTCAGTATCGATCTCAGTATCGATCTCGCTCAACGGGACACCACGGGACACAACAGGACACCTCTGGACACCGCGGGACACCGCGAGCCATCGCCCGACGGACGCACGGACAGGCGGGCGGGGAATAATCATTTGTCTTGACTTCGCCCTAGCAACGGCGGACACCACGGGACACCACGGGACACCACGGGACACCGCGAGACACCGCGAGCCACCGCCGGACGGGCGGGGGGGGGATAATCATTTGTCTTGACTTCGCTCTAGCAACGGCGGGTTCATTCCTCTCGCGCGCCCCCGCAGCTTCGCCTCGCCCGCACGCACGACACGACCGAGACGAAAGGATTTCCCGGTTGGGGGTCTCCGTTCCGCTGCGATCTCACCCCCCAACCTCCGACTAGTACTACATGTCCTCCTTGGAGGCGCGCGTCCGACCCGAACATCTAGTACAGTTACCCATCTTGTAGTATGCCGATTCCCGAGCGGTGTGTCCCGTCCCGAGCGCCCGGCACGGAGCGTATGCTACCAGACTTCTCGGTGCGCGCGTCGCCCCTGGGGGGGGGGGGGGGCGACGCACACGTAGCACTTGTATGCTGGGGTGACGCCGAGGCGGCACGTCAGAAGCCCAGACGCCCTCGAACCATGAGCTATTTTCAGCTTCTGGGGGCCCGTCAAAGGACGACTCAGGATGGAAAACATGTCCTGGGGAATGGATCGATACCTTCGGAGCCGATGTTATGAAAAAAGTCATTGCGTCGGGGGTCTGGGAATCTAGCTTCCCCGATACGCGCCGCGCAACCCGTAGCGTGCTGGCACGGCGCTCACCGCGTTGATTGAAAACGTGGGCCTGGCGAGATGCCCTCGCCAAGACGTGGGCCAACACCGCGCGCGAGATGTGTTGAACTCGGCACGCGCTGCGTTCCAGAACCTGCGCATCCGGGCAGCTATAGGATCGGGCACTTTTTTTCAGCGTGTCGCGGCGGCGGCCCCGGCGACACGCCGCTCCGCGGGGTGGGCTCGCGACGTGCACGCTCGGGGGCCGGGCCGCGGCCAGCGTGCTGCACCGACTCGCGGAGGACCGAGACCTGCGGTGCGACACGCGAGGACGTGCACCTCTCGTGCCCCTCTTGGGCCCCAGGGGGGCCCCTCTATCGGGTCGGGCGAAAAGGGGGGGATTGCAAAGGGGGGGTTCTGAGAATCAGCTCGCGTAGCTGATTTTCCCGGCGCACACCGGCGCCGGAGGCGGCCATGTATAAAGGAATGGGCCCCTCGGTGAGGCCGAAACCAGCTGCATGCAGCAAATTTCGTAACCCCCCCTTTCCCAATCCACCCCTGTCGCCAGTCGGCTACACGCAGGAGTGACCCTGGGTAAGAGTGACCTTTGGTGCGCGACTTTTGGGGGGCCGCGGGGGGGCCAAAAACAGGCGCGCAAGACGCCACTATCGCATCGCACTGGGCCCGCACCAAAGGTCACTCCGGCGAAAGGTCACTCTTGAGTCTAGTCGAGCCAGGCCCGACTCCAGGACCCCCCAGGTGGACCAGCGGTGCGCACGAGCGGCGGACAGATCCGCAGCCGCGGCCTCGAGGCCTGGCTTCCGGGGCGCGGTCACGCGGACACGCAATCACACAACGGATGCGTTCCGAGCGGGGCATCTGCAGACAACTGCCCCGTATCCGTCAGGTCGCAGCCCATGGACCCGGCCCGCGAGGCTGCGGATAATGCGGGATGGCGGTTAATAAAAAATGGGATATACTGATAAAACATTGTTTCTGCTATTTCTGCACATTTTTCTGACTGGAGGAGAACGATTAAAAAAAAAAAAAAAAAAAAAAAAAAAAAAAAAAAAAAAAAAAAAAAAAAAAAAAAAAAAAAAAAAAAAAAAAAAAAAAAAAAAAAAAAAAAAAAAAAAAAAAAAAATCCAGCCCGCGGCCGTTTTTTTCTAATCGTCATCCCGGGCGCCGCCGCGTGAACACGACCCCTGGTCATTTATTAACCGACATCCTCCATTACGGATCGTTTCTGGCCAACGATGTGCACCTTTCCTCACCCCCCTTCCAAGACACTGCGACGAAGCGGGGGCGAGAACAACACTGGGCGAGGAGAAATCGGGAATCTCTGGGATCCGGCGCCTCTGGAGGATGCCTCGGGCGCCGCGCCCTTCTCAGAGCGTTCCAGCGCCCTCTGAGTGCTTTCCAGAAAGCTCTGCAACGGATCTCTCCTCATCCTGGCCCCGTCCGAGATACCCTCCCCCCAGGCCCTCGCCCCCTCGTCGCCCCCCGCATTCCGTGGGGGCAGCCCGCTCGGGAGGGGGGCCGCAGCAGGTGGGGCCGCGGGCTCGCGAAGCCTCGCCGCTGCATCGGCGACGTCCCCACGGCGACGGCGACGGCGACGACGACGGCGACGACGACCACGACCACGAGGGCGAGGGGCGAGGGCCCGTGCCCCGTCCCCGGCCTCCCTCGCCCAGCCTGGGTCTTCGGCACCAGGCCGTGGAGTTCCATGCAGCTTCGGCTCTCTCATCTTGCAGCGCGGCAGGCGCTTCGCACCGCGGCCACAGCCCATCATAGCAGAGTGGTGGGCCGCGCATAACTCGGAGAAGGCCCGTTGGAGACACTGGGAGTTTGAAATCGGCTCAAGATCGGTCCCCGGACCCCTCCCGGGGTCCAAGCGCACTCGTTTTTCGCGCTGCGTCCGGCCGTGGCGGCGAGGGGGTCCCCCGAAGGCCAACTGTCGGTGTCTCAAATGGGCCTCCTCTGAATAACAGCACACATCGCCCACGTCTTGAGTCAGCTACTGCACCTCCTTCCTTGTACGTCCCCGACCTCCCTCGCCCAGCCACGACGCCACGCCGGGGCGCCTTCCGCGCGGCAGGCGCCGGGCAGCGCGGCCAGCGCGAGCAGCAGGGCGAGCGGGAGGGCCGCCCGCGGGCGGGGCGCGGCGGGCATGGCGTCCGAGGCGGGGGGGGGGCCGGCCGTTGTGCGGGCCGCGCGTGGCCGGGCGCGTGTCGGTGCCTCTTGAAAAACGCACCTCTGGGCGGCGGCGGCTCTCTGAGGGGGGGTCCGGCTTCTGCTGCGGCTCCTCCTCCTCCTCCTCCTCCTCCTCCTCCTCCTCCTTTTCCTTCTCCTCGCTGCTCCTCGCTGCTCCTCGCTGCTCCTCGCTGCTCCTCGCTGCTCCTCGCTGCTCCTCGCTGCTCCTCGCTGCTCCTCCTCCTCCTGCTCCTCCTCCTCCTCCTCCTTCTCCTTCTCCGCCTGCCCCTGCCTCTCAAAGCACCTTGGAGCAAACGAGCCGGCCACCGAAGGATTCCGCTTCGGGCGATGCCCACCGAGGCCTCCGGCGCCTGCTCCCGAGACTGGTGGTGTTTGTGAGTGTGGCCAGCCTGAACCCAGCACACATGACGGCAATACCTGGTGGCTGCTGCATTATTCTCTATCACGCTCTGTTCGGTTATATAATGTTATATGCATATGTGTTTGTTATGTTCTGCTCTCGACGGGGCGGCGTGACGTCTAATTGTTGCGCTTGTTTTCAAATCCTTCGGCTGGGCGGCAGTGATTCGCCGTAGGCGTCTTCGATTTGGTGCTATAGTCTGCTCGCTTGGAATATGCCTCAGTGTAGTGAATCACATTATGTTCTGGTTTTGTACATTCTAAACGGACCCGCGTGACGTGATGACGCCTGTCACGTTGATCTGCTTTCGAATCGGTCGTTGCTGCGCCTGTTTTTGTCCTGTTGGCAGCCTTACGTCAGCGCGGATGTTGTGTTTGACTGGGCGCAACAAATACGCCGATGTTGTACCTAACGTTATTCAATGGTGTTACATTCCATTATGTTCTAATGTACACTAAGATAATATGCTATGTTATGATGTTCTGTTGTGTTCTCGGCGGGCTGGCGTGGCGTCGTGACGCCTGCCACGTTACATGCGCGGTCCAGTCGGTCGTTGCCGCGCCTGCTCTTTCCTGCGGCCAACCTTACCCCAGCGCGCACTGTGCGTTCGATTTTGATAAAGGGCGGTGGACCATGCTATACTATTCCTCCTCAGTGGTGGCCGAATATATGATCTTGGAGTCCGTTCTTTCATGATCAAATATGTCGTACGATGAAGTGGTCTGACATGCTGTGCTGTCCTGTAATGATCGGTTGTGGTTTGATGTTTGCGCTATGTCCTGATCGTTATGTTCGGAAGCGCTCCGCTCCAGTTATGACCTGCCTCTTCTATCATGTTGTAGCCCATGGTGTTATATCATACTGACTGCCGTAGTCGCAACATCAATGATACAAACTGTCATCTATATTAGGCGGGTGACGCTGCGACCTGCTACTAATCATGGTATGGCATATTATATTATGGCATGGACATTTTTGTTTCCGTGTAATGCTCCATGGCGCTCGGTAGCAAACGTTGCTGTCGCGATAGCGATTATACCACAACACTATGTTACTCTCGGTTTGGTCATGCAACACGTTGTTATGATAGTATGTGCTGGGTGTTGTGTGGTGCCCTGTTGTGTTTTTGTATGCTATGTACTGTCTTGTTGAACGGCATGCGGTCCGATTATGAAAATATGCCGCGTGCTGGCATGGTATGCGTTGCCATGCTATGGTGTGAAATGGTATGCGGTACTCTGTTCACATGAATACAATGATATGTAATGGTACGTCACTAATTGATTTGCAATGTGATGGCCCGATGTGGTAATATGCTATGCGGTTCTGCTCCGCGCTGTGATACCATACGTTGTTATGTAATGGTGTGCCCTGTTCTGTGATACTGTGTTCTGGTAGGCTGTGCTCAATCATGCCATGTTCAATTGTTATGGTGTGTGGTGCCATGCTATGTTATGAAACGTTCTGCGGTGTTGTTTATGATCTGTCATGCTCACAAGGGCGGGAGTCCGGGGGACTCTCGGAGGACTTGGGGATCTGGCGGCCGCGGAATGCAGCGTGGGCGGGTCGCGTCTGCAGGGGCGGGACTCCCGGTGGACTTGGGAACCTGGCGGCCGCGCCATGCAGTGTGGGCGGGTCGGGAAGTCTGTCCTCAAAATGTAATGGCCCCTGGAATGTTGGGTGGGGAACAGACAAGCAAACAAGCAGACGAACCATCAATTAAACACAAGCACAAGCACAAAGCACAATCACAAGCACAAAAACATGCACAAACACACACACACACACACACGCGCGCACCTGTATGTGCACGTGCACGTGCACGTGCGCGTGCACCCGCACCCGCACAAACACACATTCACACACACGCATGCACACGCACACACCCACACACACACACACACTCACTCGCGCACACACAAATACGCACACACACGCACGCACGCACGCACGCACGTACGCACCCACACACACACACACACATACACACAACACGCTCACACACTCTCACACACACAAACACACACACACACGCACACACACATACATACTTGTTTGTGCGTCGCGGCCCCGCGAACGGCGACGGGACGTATAACGATGCACACACACACACTTCCGGGCGTAGCGTCGCGGCGCCTCGCCAGCGCGTCGGGCGACCCTCGCGGGGCACGCAGTGTCGAGAAGAAGGAAAGACAAGGAGAGACGGCCGGCCCCTCACGGGGCGGTGGCCGCGGGCAGCGGCTGCGGAGGCGGCGGGGCAGCGGGCGGGCGGGGGCCGCGGGCGACGGGCGGCGGGGCGCGGCAGCATCAGGGCGGCGCCGCACCGGGGACGCGGGCCCGAAAGGGCGGCGCGCGGCGGGCAGGGTGCCTCGGCAGAGGGCCAGAGAGGCAGGCGGCCGGGGCCGGAGGAGCCGCGGCGCGCTGGAGGGACCAGCGGGCCGGGCCTGCGGGCGGGGCGGGGCGGGCGAGGGGGGAGGCCCATACGGGGCGAGCCGCGAGATCGGCAGACCAGGAGCGGCGGCCAAGAGGCCAGAAGGACGCGGCGGGCCGCGTTGAGAAGAGGCCGAGAGGCCTGGGGAGGCGCGAGCGCCGAGAGCGCGGACAGTGCCCGAGGAGAGCAGCGGGCCGCGGGGGCCAAGGCTGACCCCAAGGAGGAGCCATCCCGAGGCGGCGATCGACGCCGAGAAACACCCAGCGGATCGCGCGTGGCGGGCAGAGAAAGCAAGACACAGCAGCCACGAAGGGCGAGGGGCGCCCAGGGGCTGGGGAGGGCTGCAAGCATTACGTACACACACACACACACACACGCACGCACGCACGCACGCACACCGACAAACAGACAGACAGACAGACAGACAGACAGACAGACAGACAGACAGACAGACAGACAGACAGACAGACAGACAGACAGACACGCACAGACAGACACACACACGCACACACACATACTTCTTACAAGTGCGAAGAAGCCCAATGGCAACACACGCACACACACAACCTCCTCTCTCCGTCGATCCTGCCTGCGCTGAGTTTCTTGTCTTCCCCCATCCCTCCCTCCGGCCTTTTTTGCTGCTGATCTCTCCTCTCTCCCAACCCTCCTCCTCCTCCTCTTCATTCCGCCTCCCCTCCCTCTCCCCTCTCCCCTTCCCCCATCCCCTCTCCTTAATAATCTCCCTCTCCTCTCCTCATTCTCCATCCTTCTCCTCGTCCCCTACTTCCTCTTCTTCCTCCTCCTCCCTTTCCTCCTCCACATACTCCTCCTCCTCATCTTCCTCCGCCTCCTCCTCCTCGTCGTCATCATCGTCACCCAGATTGTCATTACCATCACAAACAATACTACACCAGGGAACAAAAACCCAATCAGTGGATGGTTTGAACATGAGTGATATGGATATTGAGATCGACTGCGAGATTGATCGCGGGATCGCTAGCCAGGACGATAGTAAGGTCAATAGTCAGACCGATGGTGAAGCCGATTGAGTGAGATCGATAGTGAGATCGATCGTGAGATCGATCGTGAGATCGCTCGTGCGATCTATAGTGAAATCGATTGTGAGATCGATTGTGAGATCGAACTGAGATCGATAGAGAGGTGGGTAATAAGATCGATGGTGAGACCGATCGATAAAAAGACCCGACAAGAACCGAAGAAAGAAGAAAACTGGGAACCCCGCCGCCCACCGAAATCAGCCCGGGACCAACAACCGGGAACCCGGGAACCCAGAACCGGGAACAGGGGAACCCATCCGCCCACCGAAACCGGCCCGGAACCAACAACGGGGAACCCGGGAACACGGAATCGGGAACCCGTGAACCCGGCCGCCCACCGACATCGGCCAGCAACTTTCGATGATCCAATCTCCGCCAGGATCCCTTCAGTGCAAGCGCTGATCGGGGAATGTCCGCTAGGACCACTTCAGTGCAAGCACTGATCAGGGAATGAACGCTTTCGTCCCTATGCCGTGATCCTCCCGTTTTTTCAGCTTCACTTCTCCTGCTACTCCTGATCCTCGTCCTCCTCTTATGTCCTTCTTCGCTTTCATATCCCGTCTTACCGATTCTCCTTGTGCCCCCCTCCATGCCGTTCCCTCTTGCTGCTGCTCCTGCTTCGTCCTCTGCCTAAGCCATACCATTAGTAACGGCGGGGCAAACGCAGAATCACACTGATGCTGGCCAATACATGTCAAAAACCATATGCTGCTGCCGAAAGTCCTTGCCGCTGTTCGCTACCTCGGGGCTATGACCTTTCCGATGTTCAGCGTGGCGACTGCAACTTTCATGACGTCGGCGCTGTCGTGTAGATCGCACTCGCCCAGGGGGCCAGATCCCACCATTCCCACCGTGCTTTGTCCGCCAGCATGCCGTATTCGTTCGTACCGCCGTCGTCGCTTGGCGGATCATCCTAGCCACGCTTGGGGATGCGCATGGGTGGCCACCAGAGGTAGTTCAAGCTGGCCTTCACAGGCCTCCAAGAGTGCATTCGGGAAGGGCTCTCCCATGTGGAGCCTGAGGTACCAGCACCCAGAGGGCCTAAAGTTACTGGAAGACTGGAAGGATCTCGAGACGACTGTTCACCATAGGGTTGCTGGGACCTTTGGGACCCAAGCGCCTTTCGAGCCTCGGAGGCACTTCCCCCCA